CTAGCTATCTACTATTCGCGTTTTCAAATTATCAGCATTAGCTTTCCCACCCACCCACCACGGCAGTTATGACTTTTTCGTTGTAGCCTATGTGTTTATAATTTCGTTGTAATTGATGTAGCATTTATAATTATCTTGCACTCGATGGGCCTCTAGTTTTATCGTAGTTTATTTCGAAGATTGTAATTTCAGGTTGGTCGTATGTGTAGGAGTAACATAAACTGCCTGATCCCAAACACGTGGTTCGAGAGTGAGTTTCTGTGTTTAGATGCCTGTACAAATACGGTTGTAATGGAAACATGACGTTCCGTGTACAATGACGTGTTTATTGAATTGCTCCCAGTTAAATTTCAGACAAACGTGGCTATAAGTTTGGCGCCATTTACTTTAACATTGAAGAAGTTATAAACGGTTGAAGTCAACGTGAGCACTTTTCGCCCCTCCCCACCCCCTCCACCCTCAGTGGCGTTTTTTAGCTCCCTTTTATGCAAATTCGCTTACACATTTACCTCAGATACTGCGCTTGTAAATGGACCTCTGAATTCGTACTTTTGGCAACTTGAGCAGCATTTTCCAAGATCGCATGTTTGATTTCCAGAGTTAGTGACACAGTAGAAGCGTGGTGAAGCCCCGTAGAATACTTGAACTAAGAGCTGAGCGCCGGTGGGAATAGAAACCAGACAGACAAAGACGAAGAGAGCCAGTTGATAGCGACCGAAACCTCCAGTTAGTCTAAGAAGATCGTCGAACTCGTAGCTTTTGACTTCCTTTGATGATCTTTTCTTGGTTATTGATTCAGAATGCTCTGCACCATCCATTCCTGTATCGCTTCAAAACACGCGCTGTACTGTATAAACGAAGCTGAACGAATTGCTATTATGACAGGAGATTGGAAAACCACTTTGCGTGAATATTCAATCAATTAGTAACCATTGACTGACGTCAATCAAGTGCTGTTGTTCCTGTCACGCACTCCATCTTTGAACTTTAATAAAAGAAAAAAGCGTTACCTTCCT